GCAGGTGCCCAGCACCTTGATCTTGACAGTATGGATTGAGGAAGGGGAAGTTGGCCAACGCCACCCCCGCGGGCGACCGACGCCGGCCCTGCAAGATGCAAGTTGTTACTCAGGCCCCCGAGCATGTTCAGGCAACAAGGGGTTCAGATGCCTGCCTCTCAGTGAACACCAGTGTTTGAGCGGCTTGTGTGCACATGTACCTCGTCATGTTCGGCACAGACAAGCTCCGAAGCCGAGCAACTACCTGCACTCAGCCCAAAGCCTCACTCTACCACCCCCTGCTTCCTGCTCTTGAATCCGTCAAGCCCAGGCCACAGGCAGTTTGCGGATCGCTCCGGGGGCTGACAGGGTGGGCGGCAGTCTCCTGGAGGCGCAACCACTCAGTTTTCCCAAATCCACACTCCCGCCCAGCGGATGCGACAGGCTTTCAGCATTTCCTGCACCATCGTCGCCCATCAGACCATCAGCCTGTCGGCCTCCGCGACTCTCACCGTCGTGGCCCAGAAGAACATCTCTTACGGACAGTATCCGTTCCTCAGACCTTCAGTCGTGCTTCTTGTGTCATGGTTGTGAAGACGCACTGGTTGGGTAGCTGCTTGGTTTTTTGGTTGCGACGTGAGCGATTACGGGTCAGTAGCCGTGAGGCGATCTTCACTCATAGCTGCATGCTCCGACTGTTTGTTTGTCGACCCCTGTCTCTCTCTCACCTCCAATTCCGTCAATCACGGTTTGTATTAAGATTTCAGAGCAGCAGAGGGCCCATGGCGAAGCGAACAGTTGATGCTATTTGGAGTGCTCTCCTGGTTTAGGTTTCGAGTCCGACCCAACACAAATCCAATTCTCCGTGGCTCTCAAACTCGCCTTGCCTTGCAAGCTGGGCAGCAGGTTGTTGTTTCGCACAGATGTGACGAATCGGTACGACCCTGTCGTGATGGGGGACTGGTCCTTTGACCAGTTGAACTGTGATCCATCGGACATTACCACGGAGCTGAGACTCGGTCAGAGGGGACGGGTCCGATGGCCCAATCCCGACAAAGCTGCGTCCGCTGGAGGCGTCCTCGCAGATGGCTTCGACATGCGAGGGGCTATCTGTCGCGTCCGGGGCACGGCGGGAACCCCGGTAGGACTTGCACAACTGGATGAAGGCGCAGGTCAATTCCCACCGCCAGTGGAGACTGTGATTTCTTACTTCGTCGCTGTCCTGCCGAGTGTTTGGGAGAATCTTCGCTACGAAAGAGCGAAGACCATACTGGGCAGACTCCAGGCAGCCGCTCGCCAGTGCGCAAGCGAGAGGGAGCGAGAGAGAGAAATGGCTATCTTGGCTCAAGTACTACATGTTGTCTCTGGGGCTGTGGACTTGGAGCTTATCTTGGCGTGGGAGCCAGAAAGTTTCACCACCGCAGAGCAACCTGTGGGGCTGCAGGATTTGTCTCTTCGACATGAGAAGACACCAAAGCAAGAAGTTGTAGTTCGGACGGGGCTCCTGTTGTTTTGCTCGTTCCTTCTTTGTTGTTGTTCTGCAGATAAAACTTCGGCTTATGTGCTCGAAGGAACAAGTACAGCATGAAACGAAGCCAAAAAAGAGCAAGAACGGTATCAAGAACTGTACCTGGACACCAAAGAAAGGCAAGCAAACGGCAGCTCCAAAGTCGCAGTGCCGACGACGAGTGCCATTTCCCAGACTCTTGCTTGTCCGAGTGTGAGAGCATACAGAAACTCACAGATTCGATAGGCCTTGCTTGTTCAAAATGCCGGACTTTTCCTCACGTGCCACGTGCAGGTGACAGTCGGGCAGGTCGCTGCCACGATCAACGTTGAGGTGCCTGACCAGGCCATCCGGCTGCTGCCCCCAACAGCCTTCACTGGCAAGTGCTCCAGTGATAATGGAGGCATCGTCACCTTGGACACAGTAACTGGCCAGGGAACCTACGAGGGCTTCCCGTTCTTCGACATGGACCTGACCACTGGGTCTGTGCGGCTTGCCCCATCGCAAGAGCTCGCTAGCCTGATGCCTACAGATGCAGGAGCTCGGGCGGAACTGACCCTTTCTTGCACGATCTACGGCCTCTACCAGTTCCCACCCTTCGGGGATGGGCCCGTGCTGCAGGAAGTAATCTACTTGGGAGCAACGGACGACACATGTTTCGTTCCCAAGACGGGAAACTATTACTTTCTCGAGCTGCACTCACTGACAGTTTCTGGCCCGACTCAATGTCGTACCGAATGTCGAAAGGATTCTACCTGCACTTACTATTCTTTGCTCGGCGCTACAAGTTGCTACTTGTACAGGGGGCTTTGCCCAGATGCCGGAACGCCAGGCTGTTTACAAGTGACTCGGCTTTCCGCAGCAGTTCGAGGTATGTCTAGGTGCCAGAGATGGTATTCAAATCTGAAGCGGCTCCAAAGAATCGAATTTTACACTGATGTCGGCGTGCGCGGAGGGCGCGACTTTGGCGATCACTCGATGTTTTGGTCCAAGATGTGCGCCGTGCTGCAGCAAGAACCGGGGAAATCCGGGCACACCGACCGTGTGATCCCTTCTCGCGCTCGGTCACTTAATTCCCCTGACTATCCAGAATGTCGTAAAGCCAGGTGAGAACCCTCTAGTGTTTCCAAGCTATTCAGGAAAAGAACAACTTGTTCTGCATTAAGGAGCGTTTGTCTTGCACAGCATGCACTGCAGTAACCAACTGGCCTGATCCGAAGCTTGTCGCGGCTGAGGATACCAAGAGATGAAGTCTCAGATTGAGTATCCTGCACTTTTCTCCTTGTCCCCCCTCGCCTCTCCATCATGCGCCGCAGGCGAGTGGAAACGTCTTCGCTCGAGTTCTTGGCTGTGCGGAGCGGGCTACATGCATCCAGCTGAGCCTGTCCAAACACTTCTTGTCCGGGCGCTACTGCTACTACGGTGAGAACAACTACCGGGGTCGGACGGCAGATACGGCTGATCAAATTCCTTAGCCCGCTGCTAAATGGTCAAACCGCAAGTGCTCGCCATAAGATAAATATGCGAACGCGACCAATTGCAATGTGGAGGTGTGTTCAACGTATCTTAGCACTTCGAGTTGTGATGCAGCAGAGCAGTTGAAGCATGCCGGGCATTGGGTTCAGCGCTGCATGCCCTGTCCTCGTACCTTCGTAAGTTACGGACGGTCATCTCCGGATTCAGGACTGGAGAACACCGTCTCCGGGAAAGGCAACCACTAAGAGATACTAGAAGCCCCGGAAGAGGTCAGCAGTAAATTCGCAACATCTGGAGGTTTGTTCTTGTTTCCTGAGCCGAATGCTAACGGGGTGGACCCACCTGTAGGGCATTCTAGAGCGGACTAGAGCGCAGTCTTGCCTATCGTGTCCGATTACCATGTGAGAGTCGACGCTCTAGTCACGGCGAGTCGAAACACCGGGCCCCTCAAGCCTAGCCTGCCGTTGTGCGAGTCAGTACCCCGACCGGATAACGGCAATGGTCCCTGCAGAGGTGGTCTAGTCTTCCTGAAGGAGGGCATCACCAGCTTTGAGAGCTTTTGGTTGCACCGCAAGAGTCGTGACTTCGATGTGTGGGTTCTGCAGAAGCCTGCCCAAGGCGTGCGGGTGAAAGAGAGATCGGGGCTTGAGTTAGAGGACAGCCAACTGACACTTCCAGGCGACTTCTACAATGCCTCTGCTGCGTACATGACTTTCTCTGGCGAGGAGATGGCTACGATCGACTCAGGCTGGCTTTTTGTTGAACCTAGGCCACAGCATGCGTGCAGCACTTCCTTTTTGCATCCGT